GGCGCCCCCGGGCATGCAGCTATGGGGGGAGGTGCCCCCGGGCGCGCAAGTGTCCCCACCCCCTGGCGCCCGACAACCTCAAAAGGTTGGGGACCACTGCACTAGAGGATAACTACCTCGGTTTACCCAACTTGATGAAGTGTTTTTATGAGGCAATATCACAATCATCCTCTGTTACAAAATGGTGATTTTTTTTGTTCTATAGTTATTACAAATCTGCAGATAATGAAAAATATTTTCTATAAAATAATATTAAAAATGGTGGAAATTTAATTAAACCTCACATGTAAACCCTGCTTTCTTCACCAAATTCTATTAATTAAAAATCCATTGAGATATCAGAAGAGTTCTTCCTCAGAGTTTCCTCTGCAAAATGATCATTCTCCTGTTCCTTTCCCAAAGTCTTCTTGAGCAGCTGGAAATTGGATTTAAGAGATTATTTACTTCAAAAGGAGGGTTTAACCCAATAGTCAGACATAGCTGTCTAAGATCCATTCTTTTTCCCACTGCAGAATTGAGGAGAGAGACAAAGAACACAGTGACTGGCAGGATGATCTCATGAAAGAATAATGCTCCTGGATTTCCATAATATATTATAGAACAGAGAAAAATATTTTGAAAGGCTATATTGTATATTTTGAAGAGTTACAAGTTTTCTCCTAGAAAATTCATACTAATGGTACGTCTACTCAGCAACATTATTTCAAAATAACTTAGTCCACGTCTACAGCAGGCAGTTATTTTGAAATAATGTCAAAATAAGGGACTTCTTACTCCAACTCCTGTAACCCTCATTGTACGAGGAGTAAGGGAAGTCGGAGGAAAAATGCTCTATTTTGAAATAAGTGATGTGTAGACGCTCTCAATTTTGAAATAAGCTATTTTGGAATAAGCTACGCAATTGACATAGCGCAATTTGCATAGCTTATTTTGAGTTACACCCTGCTGTGTAGACGAATGCTAGTTATTTCAAAATAATGTTGCTGTGTAGATGTACCCTTACTGAAGAAAAAGATTCTCTAAAGTTCGTAGGCACCTGAAATTTTTTTTAATTGTGACACATGACCAGAAATTTTAAGCAGCTCATCCACTAATTGACCCAAATTCAACCTTTAGAAAGTATGTAAATGGTTATTAGGGCCAATCCTTGTTAAAGCTCCAAACCTGTGTTGTTTGAGAACTAGAAGCTGTACAAGAGGTGTTTACTTGTATCTTGTCAGATGTTAGGAATTGTCTATTTATGTGGCTATCTATTAATATAGCCACTGAATCAGATTAAAAAGGTATATTAATGTTTAGATAAATCTTGGATGGAATAATATCATTGTCTTTAGGTCTCTTTAAAGTTTGTGGTAAACTGTACATGAACTGGTCAATGGATAATTACTTTGTGCTAATCCATATACTTAATTATCAGTGATGCTTAGGAAATAGAAGGTTACTCCAAAAGCCTATTGTTCACCCAAAACTACATGGTCAAGAAGCTGTTAGAAAATTGTATGAAAGACTCTTGGAACCTGATCCTTTAATCTCAGATCTCTAGTTCAATCTGGATCACCATAGATATGAATATTGGACTAAATCTGAAAGAAATAACTCTTTGCAACTACAAAGCCTACCATCTCTACTACGAGATAAGTGGTAATAGATAATCTAGACTCCATCGTTTTATATGTACCGTTGGCATGTGTTCCAATGTGCATTATTTTGCATTAATCTACAGCGCTACAGCACCAACCCAGCACTCCAGCTGCTCTTGGGGATGCCTGGGACAGAGCAGCTAGGGTACTGCCCGGTTGGTCCCGTAGCGCTGCCCCTCGGGGCTGCGTGACCAACCCGGCAGGACCCCAGCTGCTCTGCCCCACGGGTCCCCGATTCAGCCGCTGCTGACACTGATCAGCAGCTGATTCCAGGAAGCTGAATTCAGGGGGCACGGTC